GACAGCTGGCTGGCACAGGTCTTCTTTAGTAGTAGTAGTAGTATGCTGTTGGTTCCATTACTGTAAAATTCTCCGAGATTTAATTCAAAACTGCCAGAGGACTACTGTCAGGATATAATGAAAGTTTCAGAAAGTATGACAGAAAGTTATTTTTATATTATTATTTATGTTATTTTATAAAACTGCAGCTTTAATGCATCAATAATGACAATCTACTGTGTATATATGTGTGACAACAAAATTTGTGCTAATAAATTGCACACTTTTCCTAAATTTTCTTCAAAGATTGAGGACTTGAATAGTGATTGGCTGAACCCAATGTAACACTGATTCGATATTTGATAACTTCTGGCAGAACTGACTTGTCTTTGCTTCCCCTGTTTCAATCCACAGATGTTGTCTGGGACAATACCGAACAGAGTGCCTGACATTACTGAAAGCAGGGTCAAGTCTGCCCTTTCCCCACTGGCAGAGGTATGACTGCATTTCAATTCATCAATGATGTGCAAATTATTATGACTGAATGAAAAACCATTGCTAACATACAGACAAAGGTGCTTTACAGACCTTCTCCTTTGTAGTTAAAACAGCAACAACAAAAACACTAAGGGCCTGTACCACTGAGTGAGATCAGTGTGTTATCCAGCTATCTTTGGGCTTAACTCAGGTTTCTCTGTATCATGAAGCTGGCTCACTTTTAAGGGGGGACACTACAGGTAACTTATGATATAACCATGATACTTCCCCAGTTAATTACTTACATTAAGTATTTTTTTGTATTACCAGTATTATCTAATTAAAAATGTGCTAATTTGCACATTTTTCCAGAACAGAAATCTGAACATCGAGTAGAGCCAGGTTCAAAATTGTTTCATTGTGTTGGCATATTAGAGTTAAAGGTTTTTGCTGAGGGAATTTGGATATCTCTTTTTATCACTGCATAAATCATCGATACAGCCATAAAAAAAATCTATTTTCACTCTTATTCCATCACTGCAGCTCAGAATAACACAAGGCCACTTTGTTGTCTTTTGTCAGAAAAATAATTCACACAATGTAACATTTCAGTCAGAAGGACCTTATCTGGGATTAACAGCTTTTCTTCTTCTCCTCTATCCTCTCTTCTCTGCTTTGGCAGCAGAAACATTATTGCATTACTTACTTACTTCGACTTTTGCATAGTCATATTTATTTCTTCATCAGACAGAAAGAAACAATAGAAACAATACTTACTCTATACTCAACACAAATATAATAATTCCCACACATAGCCTTGCTTTTAATAATTCAGACAGTTATTCTAGTGTTACAACTTCTTATTTTGCTCTAGATGTGTGATCATATTGCTTCACCTTTAATATAATCACATTTTGTTGCTGTAACCACATTTTCCAGTGGGTGTCACTGTTTCATGTCATATATATATATATATATTAGTACTGTTCTGTTAGGATGTCCCTAATTAACAACTCTACCTCTTTTACATGAATGTGCTTTAAGGTACTGATTTTGGGGTCAGTGAAGCCTAAAGAGATTAAACTAAACTTGCTTTGTGGTGCAGGTTTAATCTTACCCACAATAACAATAAACATGGTGCAATATGATGTAGAAAGTAAATATTGCTGAATGATAATAGCATCTGCAGAAACCTGAGCACATGATGTCATAAAAAACACAACAGGTATCAAAAAATGTTACTGTATGTTCACAGTCATCTCTCTCTGCGGCACCTGAAGGAAAACCATGCAGACAGTCTGCTCTCTTTCAGCTTGCTGAGGTAAGGCAGTTAACACTTTGCACATAGTTCATCTTAAGTAACACATTGCACAGGGCTCCCATGCGTCCTGGAAAATCTGGAAATTTAGAGACTAGTTCTCCAGTCATGGGAACATCTGGAAATTGATTAAAATTACCAAATATCCTGGAAATATTTACTATGTTGTCCTGGAAATGTTTGTATTTTAGCCCCTCACTCAGATTACTTACTTAAACTTAGGTGCTTATATAGTTTGAAACATGACTCGTTTGGATAAACTGTATGACACTTTAGTTCAGGTTACCAGATGAAAAGTGGAACTTTATTTTTAAATAATAAAGCTATGTTCAAGAATGAAAACATGTTTTTCACCTGATCAGGCTGTAACATCAGTTATCTTTCATGCTGGAGATTGAAAGATTGTAGGAATGTGACAAAGCTGGACAAAGTTATTTTGTTTATGAACTAAAACTAGAGAACAGTCTATGTTAGCCAAAAGAAAACACATGGGCCGCACGATATGGCTTTTAAATAATAACTTTATATTTTTAGGCTCTTCTGCAATATACAACATATAACTCGATATTTAGCACACATTGTGCAGTAAAATAGGGACCATTTTACAGCATAATGAGTACTTTTACCATAATAAGGTTTAGAATGCTGAACTTTTACATGTAGTGGAGTTTTTTTGCAGTGGGGTTGGTTTTACTTACGCTTCAGTAATAGGCCTGAATGCTTCCACCTCCGGTAAGCATGCCCAGCACCAAATGTACCTGTGTGTTGCCAGCCCAGACTTCCCCACACACTCTTTTTTTAGTGTGTGTGTGTGTGTAGGTGTGTGTGTCTGTGTGTGTATTGTGAAAGTGAGTCTTTCCCAGTGGGTGATGAGTAGTTCCGTTACTAAAGTCAGCAATGAAGTGTATAGATAAGTTCAGGTTGCAGTATAATAGTTACTGAAAGGGTGTGTGTTGTTTTTGCTGCCACAGACAATAAATAAAAAAATCCCTGTTGATGTAATATTATTAGTGTCTTCTTGTAGTTTCTACAGTAGTTATCAGACTGTGAAAAGCTAGTTGATAAGCAGCTACAAGCCAGGTAAAGACAATTAAAAGTCCAACTCTGCTGTGAAGAGTACAAGACACTGTAGTAATCACATAAACACACAGCCTTTTAGTAACTGTTACACTGCCACCTGAACTTATCTACACACTGAAAACTTGAATATGACAATATATAATATAAAGTTCATTTAGTCAAAGCAAGATTATTAGAAAATTGTAGACATTTCTGATCAGTTTAGAAAAAACTATAGAAATTCAATGTAGAGATGTATTGTTGAACATAGTGTTGATTGTTGTTATTTTATATTCATTACTTTAACATTGAACTTTTTTGTTGTATTTGTTAAGATGTGCTTAGCGTCTGAAGCTGGAAAGATGGACACAGTCGTATCTCAGCCTGAGGACAGCTCCTCTTCAGCCTCTCTCCAGCAAGCTGCAGTCAAGGAGGAGCTCAAGGAGGAGAAAGCAGGCACTGACAACTGTCCTCCTTCCTCTCACACATCAGCCCTCCTACCTTTGCTTTCCTCTGTCACTTCTACCTCCACTGATGCCATTCCACCGCAACTCAGCAGCCAAAATGCACGTGTCAAAAACAAGAGCAAGAAAAAAGAGGTGGCCAAGGTAAATGATAACGATGAGATCCCCTGTTCAGCAAAGAAGATCGTCAAGAAGTGTAACCATGCAGAGTCAAATGTGGACAGCATTTTCAGCACCATTGAGGCAGTGGCCAAAGGGGCCTGGAAGGACACAGAGGAGAAGCCCAAGAAAAAGATGCAGAGCAGTCCTACTGGTGGAAACTGTGGCGTGTCCAAAAAGAAGAGTAAGCCCAAAGTCAAGACCTTCGTCAAAGAAAAAGAGGAGGAGATGGAGGACGACAGCGGGCAGTGTGGGCAGTACACTTCCTCTGAGGTGGAGATGAAGGAGGAGATGGCTGACGTCAGTCCCAAGGCAGAATCAGAAGAAGCAAGTATAGGAAACACAGACCTCCAGGGCAGCATTGCAGAACCTCATTACTCCCCGGGCAGCGCTTCACCTGCTAAGCTCCGAGAGGAGGACAAGGGGAAGGAGAGGTCAAGCGATGGGACCTTTGAGTCCAACACAGAGAGCCGCTCTGGCTCCAGGAAATCAGAGCGGAGCTGTAAAGGCGCCTTGTATAAAACCCTTGTTTCTGAGGGAATGCTGACTTCACTGAGAGCCAATATTGACCGAGGTATCCACTTTGATTCAAGTGCAAACTGATGAATGTGTAATCCTGTCTGTGTGTGTGGTGAATGATCTTTTTCCATTGGTCTGCAGGTAAAAGAGGAGCTTTACGTGCTTCTGATCATGATGCAAACTGGAGTGACGACAGCTGGACAGTTTCGCAGATGGGACCTAATAACCCCAAGAAGCTGAAAAAGTCCAAGTCCAAAGATGAATCTTCACAGGGGTCAGTCTGTATACCTTGTATTTAACATACTAAAATCTGATATCTGACAGTATATATTGTTTGTAAATCTACTTCAATCTGTTACTTATTCTACACGAGTCAATAATCACATTTCATGGATTTAAAGATACACTGCTGTTCACATTTAGTTTGTTACCATAAACCCTTTGGACAGAAATGATTTCTTAAAGAATTTATAGGAAAATTCCAGCATGTTTCAGTGATTGTGGCTGTTCTAACTATCGGCCATTGTAATTGTACTCACCACTTTTGTAGAGATTTGAGAAATGTGTACAAGGTCTCAGGCCTTCATCAGCTCGTTAGGCCTAAGACATGCCAACAATTGTGCTTAAGAAATGTCAGCTAGTGCCAGTTCCAACCCTTCACAAGGGGGGGTTGCCCAAACTTTAGCACATGCCATCACAATATTTAATTTTTTGTTCAATATATGACATATAAAACATAACTATGAATTCATGTTTGATAGAAATATTGTGTTTTATGTACTGTATCCTAGAAAAGCGGTGTTTACATCTTTTCAATTAAATAATCACCTAAATATGCTATGTTATTTGTTGCATACAACTGTAATGTAACGTATGTGATTTTGTATCAGCCTTTGCATAGCATGTAGTGCACACATATTTTCAACGACATTGTCACCCTTCAGAAAGTAAAGTAAACGCATAACAAGTTATTTACACAGGCAGCTGTGAATCTGAATGCCTAATTGACAGTAAATATATGAATTAATAATAATATTAAGTATCTTAACAAGCCTGCTGGTGATGAAAGGTTTTCCTGCAGGATATTCTTGTACACAGAAACAGATCCTTTATTTTACCAGTGGTTAAACTTTCATCCAGAACTATAAAGACAGCTCTTAGCATATCTTGGCAAACTAGAAAGTAAGCTGTCAATGGGCAGGTCATTTAACGCTACGCAGTCCGGGCTGGAATAACAAGATAGTGTTGTGTACAAAAAAATGATTTTATTTTCAGTGCGCACACTGAGTGGAAAGCTAGCGCACCGTAAGGAGATATTCACTGAGTTTGAAAAAAAAAGTGTGTAATGGATTTGAATTGCATGACCTAGAATTGCTTACCCCACCTTTTAAACAGTCAACTGAGTAACATTTGGAATTGAAATGGAAACTATGCCACCCAGTAGTAATTGTGTGGAGTGGGCGTCTCACTTTAGTAAAGTGAGGAGAAAGGTAGTTCTGGCGCTCTCACCGTATACCCTGCAGGACTAGGGCCAGACCTACTTAACAGCTCTCTGTAGGGAAATGTACTGTATAACTTATCAGACTGCCTTTTTTTATAGTTATGTTAGGCTATCGATTATATACTCCACTATGTAAACTGTGAACTTCACTTGTCAGCCTAGGGAAACTGGAGGAGGAGTTTGAAAGGAAGTTTAACAGCCTGCCACAGTATAGCCCAATGACATTTGACAAGAAGGGGACAGCTGTCACAAAGAAGAAGAAGAGCGATAGCTCAACTGTCCAAGAGGAAGTCTGTAAAGCTGGAAAAGGTAAGAACAAAATGAAAGATTTCTCCACTAATTAAACAGTGACTGCTCTTGCATCTGTAAGTGTGTCTTGGAGTGACTACCCCTGTACCTACTCAAAATGTTCTCAGTCAGTGTTCATTACTGTCCTTTTTTGACACATTATCCCCTCGTATTTACCTGCGCTGGAGGAAAGATGTTGCTGCGCTCAGGAATTCATAGCCTAAATGAACTTTATGAGCAGGACTAATTTAACTTTTTCAACCTTGTGGAAATATTATGTTATCACATCACAGATGACAAAGAAAGACATTAATGCCAGAGAAAGTAAAGTGGTCGCTCCCTTTTGCAAAGTGTCTCTTGTTTGTACTTACAGGTACAAGTTAAGTAGGCCGTTGTTCTATGTGGCCCAGGACGCATTACAGTATACACTACAAAAGATAAGTGTTCAAATGCATCCTAGACCACCTCAGCAACTGGTTTGAGGGATCGGATCAGAATGCGTGTCGGTGGTCGTTCATATTTGTATTTAGAACTGTTATCAAACAGCAGATCACCCAAGATGCATTCTAATACCAGGTATAAACGGGCTCTTTAATATCCCCTCATCTCATCCATGGCCCACTCTGCACCTGTTTGTAGAGTCATGTTTTCCTCACTTGTGGTGTTCAGGACCAGCTCTCTCTTTGTTAAAACAACATAACATAGCATTTCCATGCTCTTTTTTTCTTTTTTTTTTTTTGCTATATCAGGTTCATCTCCATCTCAGAAAAAGACTTCATTCCACAAGATTGTTAGGAAGCACAAACACAAAAAGGAGAAACCAGGTGCAGTGGACAAAGGTGAACTAGAATGTTGATGTTTGTGCATTATAAAGCAGAGATGTGAACATTTTCACAGCTATTTAACAGATTCCTCTAACAGTTACCTAGTGCTGGGCGGTATATAGAAACTTTACGAAATATTTGTATCACTATATGATTCTGGTGGTTTCATAGTATATCTAAAATGTTTTTGTTTGTTTTTTGTTTTTTTTGCATGACTGGGCCTTTATAAAACGGTCTGTTTATAGTGGCTTATTTACTGTCAGGAGTACATGGAATATAAAAACATTTAACAGCATCATGTATGTATCATTGACACATATAAAGATGGATGGCATGATAGCTCTTCAAACGTAAAGTCAAAACGTCTTGATCGCCCCCTGGTGGCTGACTGCAGTATAGGTCATAAAGCCTGTTGTTTCTATGTTAACAGATGGGCTAAAAAATCTAATTACATGTCAAATAGATTTTTCCCTAAGATGGTTTCTGGCATTTAAGGTAGTTCTTATCATGCTGGTGTATGTTCATTTTTCTGATCAGTTTGGTTTTAATTAGTTATTTGAAGCTATAAAAAGGGGGTTTCACGTCATGGTTGACAAGAGCCAACTCTGGCTCTGAGGGGCAAAAATTGGTTCATCTGGTATATCGCCTAGCACTACAGTCACCTATTACCACATAATCTGTACACTTTGAATATCTAGTTATTGCTGAATTACCCAAAAGAAATGTATTTACTATATACTGTAATTTATGTACGAGACTCACATGTTTCAACTTGCACTATTTTTAGAATCAAGAAACAGATATATTCATAATCATCTGGTTAAATCACAATCATATTAAAGAAATTAATAAAGCCTGTGTCTATGTGCGAAGGTCCCATAATTCAAATCTACTCTGAACCGTCTCTCCACAGCAGTGGTACAGAGTGATTCTAGCACGCTGGATTCAGCTTCAAAAGCCAAATCATGTGCCCCTGTTGCCATAATGTGCCCAGATGTACAGGGCACCACTAGTATGGAGATGCTAGTTGGTAGCCAGAAGAGGAAGGCAAGGAAGACCAAGATCACACACTTGGTGCGCACAGCTGATGGCAGCGTGTCTCCAGTCGAGGGTGAGTAATTAATGAATGATGGATTGATGGACTGATTAGGAAGAAAATCTGTCTGTATCCGTTTCTCATTTAGCCAGAATTCACCACTGTGCTTTAAATGCAACATTTAACACACAACTCAGTAATTTGGCTCATTGAATTTATATTATCAGTTGGTAAATACATTCACTTAATTATTATTTTTTCACTACTCAAACAGCTCACTGAGCTGCATTTTAAGAAAATTCATGCATTAAGGAAACTGAAACTGAGAGCTCACTAGTTAGAGACAAACAGGAAGTACTTCAGACCAATCATACCGAGTAAAATTCAAAAAGTTCAGTTGACAACACAAAAAAAAGATTTAAGTTAAAAATCTATCAACATACAGATTAATGAAACCCATGTCAGTATTTTGGATATTGTACTTATGACATGCATTTTGCTTGTCATTTCTTTGTTTACCACTTTTTGTCACTTAATGGACACTAATTAGAGATGTAAAAAACTTTTATTTTTATTTTTATGTATTATCTTTTTGTTAAAACAATTTTTATATTTCATTTATTCTCTCTATTTTCAGTTATTTACTTACTTGATTACCAAATTATTAGTTCTAAGTTCTCCTTTCTGGTATCTGTTATAGAAAACGAAGCAACTGAGTTGTATCTTGCAGATTTTTCAAAATGCTTCAATAAGAATGGAAAAAAAAGTATGGGTAAAAAGAAAACTAAAAACTATGTAGCAAAACAGACACCCATGTCTTGTCTCTTCAAATGTTTTTTTTTTTAGTGAAAGTATGAACATTTCAAGTTCCTGTTTCCTAGATCTGAAAAAGAAATACAAATGAAATGCTCTGCTTACATCATTTTTAGTGGCTTTACTGTGAATTGTACATTTCTTTTCTTTCTTTACAGAGGACAAAACTAGGGACCCGACCCAGGAACAGGATAAGAAGCCATTACCCCAACAGAATTTATGCAATGACAAAGGGTGCTACAGTAATCCCAGAGCAGAAGAGGCAGAGAGGAGCACCGTATCGCAAGAGCTACCTGCTTTCTTCAGCTTGGCAGCCCTCGCTGAGGTAGCAGCCATGGAAAATGTTCACAGGTAGACAGCCTGGCTTCTATACAACACTGCTGAGTAGATTATAACATATGCTATGGTATATATGTCCATTCACAACAATGCCCATAGATGATGTTATAGACAACACTCGACTTATAGTTTGCAAACGTTTTGCTGATAAGCACAGGCTTTAGCTTATTTGGTGGATTGTTAAGACCTGTTAAAGTGTGTTAATCTTTTACTAAAACTGGAGCATTTTAATATTAATATATATATTAAGATTCTCCTCTAATATTACATTTTACTGAAAAACATTCTGCCTCACTAAAAAAAGTGAAATTCTAAATGAATACTCTGCACCTCAGTTCTGACAAAGGAGAGCAGGGACAGATTCCCCATTTGCTTTAATATCAAGAAGCCACTGATGGTTTGAAGTGTGAACACACTCTTTATGTTGTGTTTCAGAGGCCAGAGAGGCTTGGCTGAGAGTCAGAAGAAAGAGCTTACCCAGACTCCGGTCCTCATCTCCTGCGCTGATCAGTGAAACTCTGTTGCTGTTCTGAGAAGCCACAACATGGACATTGGCAGTGGAGCTTTATTTCCTCAGCGGTAACCCCAGGCTAAAGGGACACTTGATCAGGAAGCTTTGGACAGACTCCACCTTCCCCTTGTGGTGAATTTGCTTGAGCTCGGGTTCATGGTGGAGGAAAGAGAGCCTCTCCTCCTCCTTGCTCCTTACTATCTCAGTGTTTTCCCCCGAAGCCTTCCTTTGGTTTGAGGGAGGATGCCTTTCTGAACTCCTCTCCACTCCCCCCTTAGATGCTCTGTTAGGGCCTGTGGACGAACC